CCCCAAAACCCCAAAACCCCAAAACCCCAATCCTTTGTGAGAAGATGGAAAATAAATAATATTTTATAATAATAAAATGGAAAGCACAGTCCAGACTGTTGAAGAGAAAGCTACTGAAATTAGCAGGTAAACTGGAATTCAGTGTAGGCTTTGAACATAATTTAGATATCAGGATTGGTAATCAGAGGGTTTGTCAAATTTTTAGATAGCACTAGTCAACTTTGAGACTTTAAATTCAAGAAAATTTATAACTTATTGCTTATTATTTACTATGAGATGCTTTAACTCTTTATCAAAAATTCTGATGTTCGATGAATGTATATCTTTCTTGCTAAATTCATTTCAGGTCTCTAAACAATTTAATGCAAAAATTTCTAATTATAATATAATTCAAATGTGACGGTATTATTATCTTCTGAAATAGATGAGAATTCTACAGCCTGATTTTTGTCAAAAACATTCATTTTTAGCCAGCTTATCGTGTCTCATACCAAGGAAAGCTAAGCCATCAACATTTTTGCATTTTTGAAAAATAAGGCCTGCTAAATTAACTTTGAAAATTTTATTAATGCTACGTTATTCAAATTTGTTTTTCAAGTTTAATAAATGTGTAGTTCAGAAATGTCTTTACTAAGAGAAAGCAAGAGCCAAGAGAATCAGAGATGCGCCAGTATTTTCTATAATGTCCTTTCACAAGAGATTAAAAATGGCCCTTTGGATTCAGATTCTAGTGAAGATTTCAAATATGACGAGTTTATATTATCTTTTAAAAATCCAAAACATGCTATATTAGCGCAGAAACTTAAGTATTCGAGATTTTTTAAATGAGAAGAGATATTGTTATTTGAAACCCACAATAGAAATAGGCACATTTTGGATTTTATGAATGTCTCTTTTCCAAGCCAAGCAAATGGTTTATATATTTGCTCTTCAAATGTATCAAGGCTGGCAAGATCTACTTACTTTGCAGCATTGATTAAAATAAGCTCAAAAGTTATTTGAAATGCTGAATTTGGAAGTTTCTTATTTAACTCGTCTCAATTGAAGAGGTTGATGGCAGCTTACAGACATGTAAAATCCTTGTCTTTGAAATATTGTAAGTTGTCAATTCCAAGTGTTCCTGACTTCTCAAGGGCTCTTAGAAATTGTCAGATTAAGTCTATTGATTTATTAGGATCAGGAGGGTCTTGCTCAAGTGATTGGGCGAATCACTTCGATGAGTTCGATCATTTGATACAAGGGTTGGCAAGCTCAAAAGATTTAAAACTCAATCTCAGAAGCATAACCATCTACAACTGTGGGATAGAATTAAATAAAGCCCAAGAGATATTTAGGCAAAACCAACTAGTAGAAGTGCAAATAATTGGTTAAGATCGAAATAATGCAAATTTTGTAGTTTCTAGTAGCCTTGTAGTGGCCCTTTTTGTTCCCTTCTTAATTCATAATAATATATATTTTATTTCCTTCTTTATGTTAATTCATACCATTGATAATTTAGTGATTCTATTCAAAATAAAATTATCGGGGTTTTGGGGTTTTGGGGTTTTGGGGTTTTGGGG